AGTGATCCACCCAAAATGCTGGGATTACAGGTGTGAGCCACTGTGGCCAGCCCCTAAAAGTCCTACCTCGTAATAGTATTACACTGGGGATTACGTTTCAACATGAATTTTGCGGGGGCAAGGGGCACAAACATTTAGATTATAGCACATCACATACATAGTAAGAGAAAAATCCCTCCAAATCTTACCTGAGATAATCACTGCTAACAGATTGCTGTATAGTATTCCAATTTTGTGTGTGCCTTAAAAATATTCATTATGGAAATTTAAAAACATACCCCAAGGTGGCCAGGTGTGGTGGCTCACGCCTGTAATCCTGGCACTTTGGGAGCCCGAGGTGGGTGTATTACTTGAGGTCAGGAATTTGAGACCAGCCTGACCAAAATGGTGAAACCCAGTCTCCTAAAAATACAAAAATTAGCCGGGTGCGGTGGGCACTTGTAGTTCCAGCTACTCGGGAGACCAAAGCATGAGAATTGCTTGAACCCTGGAGGCGGAGGTTGCAGTGAGCCAAGACCACGCCACTGCACTCCAGCCAGGGTGACAGAGTGAGACTGCATCCCAGAAACAAACAAACAAACAAACGTTATTTTTTCAAATAGTTATTTTTTTCAAATTGTCTCCCTCCTCTCATCTTGGTTTGTTTAAACCAGAGAAAACTCCCTGCCTGTAAGGAATATGTGTTCTAATGGAGACTGAGCCATCTTGTTATGGGCAGACTTGTAGGCTGTGTCAACTTTCCTCTTGATAAACCTTTAGGTGGTTTCTGATTATTTTTCTGTTACAACAGTTTTTATCGTGCACATCTTTGTATACATCTTTTTTGAGCACATGTGCAAGTATTTCTGTAGACAATGGATGATTCCTAGAAATTGAAAGGTTGAATTACCATGTTCCAAAAAAGGAAGCAATACACCCCGCTATGTTGGCTTTTGCTCTTGGGTCCAGATGATATCTGACAGAATTATCCTCTGATTGCATTTTCTTTTCTTTTCTTTTTTTTTTTTTTTGAGACGGAGTCGGAGTTTCGCTCTTGTTGCCTAGGCTGGAGTGCAATGGCGTGATCTCAGCTCACTGCAGCCTCTGCCTCCCAGGTTCAAGTGATTCTCCTGCCTCAGCCTCCTAAGTAGCTGGGATTACAGGCATGCACCACCACACCTGGCTAATTTTTTGTATTTTCCATAGAGATGGGGTTTCACCA